GGGCAATGAAAATGAGAGCCCATCTAAAAGTCTTAAGTCTGTGAGATGTTATTATGGATGACAGCGATCCTCCTCCACTAGGGGACACTGCCACTCTAAACCAAATCAGAAGGCACGAGGAAGACAAGGCCAAGAAACCAAAGGCTATTGCTTGCCTTTTCTTAGCTGTCTCAGATAGGGTGTTTTCAAGGATTATAAACTTCGAATCACCAAATGTTGCTTGGGAGAAACTGAAGGAAGAGTTCGATGGGGGAGTCAGAAGCAGGAAGATGAAAACCTTGAGACTAAAGAGTGAGTTTGCATTACTCAGAATGCAAAAAAATGAACCAGTGAAGGACTATGCCTCCAAACTCTCGGATGTGGTAAACAAAATGAGGCTGATTGGGGAGGATTTTTCGGAATCAAGGGTGGTAGAGAATATTCTTATCAGCTTATCCCCTAAATTCGAGTCTAAAATCTCAGTCTTTGAGGAGCTTGCCAACATTGAATCTATCTCTTCAGCTGAGCTGATAAACAAGCTTCAATCCAATGAGCAGCGGGTAAATATACATGTTTGGCAACATACCGAGGGAGCCTTAATTTCAACTCAGATCAAAGGTAGCTCTTCAACACAGAATCAAAAGGAAGAAGATGAAGAAGATAAAGCAGAAGGGATAACAAAAATGAAAGCCACCCGCCGCCGGAGAGCCGACCGCCGCCACTCACCGCCATACCGAAGCAATTTCTGGCCGCCAAACAAGGTAAAAATTCTACCACTTGCTCAAAATTCGATTCTAAACCCACCTATGGCCAAATCGGAGCGAAAGCACCGGCCAATTGGCCAGAAAATTCCGTCGAAACCCAGCGGCAGCACCGCAGGGTGTCTCGATTTTTTCCTCCGACGAGGGCCTTTTCGATTTCCGTTCGACGTGATTTTTCACCTTTATGATCACTGTTTCCTCCTCTACAGGTTGACCAGAGCAAAACACCAAACTGCGACGTGAGCCGGATGAGCCGCCCCACCGCCGGTAAGTTTTGGTTTTTTGTATTTTTTCGGCCACTGAGGGCCCCAAGTGTGTTTTCTTATAGGAACCGATGCAAGTTTGGCTGAATTCAACCGAAAACGGCCAAAAACAGCCAACCCAAGGTGGATTGCCGCCGTGCCAAAATTCTGAAATTGGCCGAATAAGATCTGGGTCTGATTTTAGGTCATTTGGGACATGTATAGGTACCGTAAGCGCATTTCAGTTCCCAAAAAAAAAATTCAGGAAATCTAGGCACTGCCCGTAGGCGCAGTGAAAATCTAGTTTTCGGTGTCAGATCAGGTAAGGACCCCTCATCCTATTTCCTATCATAGAATTGAAGTTCGAATAAATGATAATATTGTATTTTATACAAATTAAACAGATATGTATAATTAATTATGGTTGCTAATGGAGCCCGAACCGGACATATTTCTCTGTCGATTCCTGTTTGATTTATTTTATAGTTTAAATGCATTATGGTATCTGGTTTATCTATTTTATGGTTTTAAATGCATGTATCACTGATTACTTCACTACTGTTTGATTTTATGAATCTAAAATATGCTTACTTTGTTGGATGTACGTTACTTGTTTATATATTCATGTTTGAGTTGGTAACGGAAACTAAGGACAAATAGGAATGGGATGTGATTTGATAAATAGATGAGATGACAGTCTCACTAGATATCCTGGGAGATGGCGGACGGACCGGGTTCATAGAGAACCCTACCATGAACATTGTCTCATACCGGACGGGGTATGGGGACAACTCACTTCACCCTCATACCAGACGGGGTATTGAGGTTTATCGTTTTGACACTCATACCGAACGGGGTATGGGGACGGTCCTGAAATTAAGTTTGTTAAGAAAAATAGTTCACGTGTAGCGAGGACCCCTATGGATCCCCATGGATACTAGTAGACTGATAAAAATGGGCAATTGTTGTTTGATAATTTGAATATAAAAGTATGATATGTGCTATGTTACAGATTATATATGAATTCATGATATTTATAATGTTATTCTTTCCATAGGTTGTTTTTATAAATCTCACTGCGGTAAGTGGACGATAAATAGTTTGATTATTGATAAATGAATTTGTTTAAATCTACTGCTCCATTAGTTGTTTTAATTTTCTACCAACCTTTACTTCTGTGACGGTGATTAGTATGATGTCCTTACTGGACTAGTGTACCTCATTCCTTATTTAACCATTTCAGATCAGGAGGACCTGATTCCTGAGTCCGATCCACAAGAAGACGGCGAGTAGATGCTACATACCTTATAGTTTCCTTTATTTTTCTTAATTCTCGTATTCCTTTTAGAGAATTTATTTCGTGATATTGTTTAGTATTTTTAAATTATTGTGTAAGGGATATTAATCTTAATCTTTTATTTCGCTTCCACACTCAGATTATTATATATATTTTCTTTTGAATTTGCGGGGCCGTTACAATATATCTTTAATTTGGAAAGGGAAAATAAAGATTTGCCATCAAGGTTAAGTTTTAAGCCATTAGATTAAAAAATTTACGTCATTGATAGCAAAAAAAAAAAGAGATTTTATATTTAATCAAAATCATATTTGATAAGATACCTAATGATCAATAATTATTTCTTTGAA